CCTCCCCGTATATATATATATATATATTGCACATCATTATCACATATAAAATTATGTTTATTGATACTGGGTAGATGTTAGATTACACATAATTTTTATATTATCTTTCTCATATTAAATAATTCAATGTGAAATAAATCATCTTTTAAATACTTTAACAAAAATTTTCTAAAAAAAAAATTAAATTAACTAGGGTCAATGGACCCCATAACTTTGACCAACTTTGACCTTAGATTCGCCCTGCCACCACTAAACGCTAATCTATAAAGAGTTGCAAAAAAATCCACGAATTGAACGTGAAATGCAGGTTAAAAATCTCATCCTCAAATTAAAAAAATCATTATAAAGATTAATCGCAACACTTTCATTTTAGATTCGTTTCATAATAATCACAATACTTTCATTTTACATTTTTTTCATAATAATTGCAACACTTTCTTATTTGGTAAGGACCCACTTATATTTCATTATTTCTCTCTCCTACCAACCCCACTTACATAATTTATCTTTCCTATTAACAACTAAAAACACCTATTGTTTACACAAATTTCGAGTCTAGATAAATAAAGACGAGAAATAAAGTAACAAATGAATTTATATTAATACTTGATTTGGTACAATCTTTGTATAACAGTTTATGATATAATAAATTAAGTCCTCTGATTTTGTTCCGCACCATGATGATGACACGTGTGTGACACTTGTAGGATGACGTTGACTTGAGTTTGAATGTAAGATGACGTTTGATGATGTTAACCTTGTAGGGTTTCGTAGTGACCCGACACTACGCGGAAGGAAACCCACCAAGACCCGCCCCTTAATTAAAACAATTAACAAGCATATTAAACTTAATCAAACAAGATTAAGAACAAGAATTATACCTTTGACGTGTGCTTCGCTCCCAAAGAGCTCTTACTTCAAAATCCCGAAAACACGAGATCTCCGACAGATCGTACCCTCGGCCCGACCCGAGCGTCCTAAGTGTTGAAGGTTAGTCAAGACCCGGACAAAATAACTATGAGTTTTACGAATCAAAGGTTTACTCTTACTTAGAGTTGCCTTTTTAATTCCACTCAAGGTTGTACATTCCCAAATACCCAAGCTTGGTATTTATAGGGAAATGATCCCTTGATTTCCAATCTCCCATCAATGTGGGAGAGTTGGTAAAATGATAATTATTTAATTCCAAAATTAAATGATTAATCAATTCAATCACAAATCGACACATGGCACAATAATAGAGAAAGCCAAGTGAGGACCAAGGCTTGGGGGGACCAGTGCCTTGATCCCTAAGGCCATGATTTGGTCCCCACACTCTATGCACAAAACCGGGTCAAGGAGGGGGCTAGCTGGCTGCCAGCTAGCGTGCCAGCTAGGGCTGCCAGCTAGCAGTGCCTTGCTGCCCAGCACCCAGCCAGCCAGCCAGTGCGTGCTGCTGCTGGGCTGGTGCTTGTGTGCTGGCGCTGGGCGCTACTAGCACATAGTGCTGGCACTGGCCCCCAACAGCCCACGCACACTCTCCTTGCGCGCCATTGCTAGCACAGCCAGCATGCGTGCTGCTAGCGAGCCACGCATGCTGGCCCTTCCCTCGCATTATCCTACGCACCACGCACGTAGCACCCTACGCGCCATGCACCACGCAACGGTCGCACACGCATCAGCCAGTGCCTAGCACTGCTATGCTTGGCGCGAGGCACGCACACACATAGGTGCGCTGTGCTTGGTGCGTGGCCTGCGATGGTGCCCACACACGCAAGGCCAGCGTTGCTTGCTAGCTCGCTGTGCTTGGTGCTGCCATGCGAAGGCACGCACACAAGCACACAGCTGCGTGCTGCTGGGCGATGGTGCACACGCACACGCACACACGCATGTGCCTAACACTGCGATGGTGTTGTGCGTGGTGCTATGGTGCTGCGATAGCCTGCCATACGCACCCAGGCACCCAGGCTAGCACGCTGCTAGTTGCGATAGGCTGCCTTGGGCTTGTGGTGCTTTGTGATAGGCTGCCATGTGCACGCCTAGGTTGCGATGGTGCGCCTAGCCATGCTAGGTGCATTCTAGCTCGAACTAGCCTAGCATCCACATGGTTAGACCATTGTGGTGCTACGGCTACACTCGTACTTGTCGCTTGTGATTTTGCGACGCTCGGTCTCGACGCCCTAGGCTCGATTTCCGACATCTGTATTCGTAAAACTCTGCTGACTCATTAAATCCTTTCGGATTAATTCGTCGTCTCGGATTGGTGGTTCGATTGGGTTTGACCCGAAGAGTTCAGTTAAGATTAAGCTGTAACATCAATTGTACATTGATATTACTTATCGGAAGTGGCCTCCACCTAGGCATTTCGATCACTTGACCTTACTGAAGAATTAACTCCGTAATAATTCTGAACCCTCTATCGGAAGAATACACTTGTTGGAAGGACACCATTCCTTTCAGGAAGGACACCATTCCTTTCAAACCCGTATTCAAGGGCTTTGTTTGAATACACCTGAATGAGAGCTTATGAAGCTTAATCACGTGCAAATGTGGTTGAGTGTATCTAAACTAGTCGGCACGAATTTGATGTGCTTTTTGACTTATTTCAGAGAGAATTCCGGTTGAGTTTTTTGAGCTCTTGGGAATAATGATTTCTAGGTTTCCTCTACTAAAGGAGAAAGGGTGTATTTATAGGAGATTAGAACCCCTTAAGTGGACTTAGTAGGTTTGGGTCTGGCCCATTTTATGACTTAGAAGTCTTTTAAACTGGTTCATTTGATTTATTTTATAACCCAAATTGTATTTGATTAATTCGGATTATTATTTGGGTGGGCCAAAAATAATTATAATGGATCATTAACATGGTTGAACCCAAATTAATTTATTTAAATTAATGTAAAACACTCATAAAATTTCTATGTCTACATATATATCAACTATACTTTATATAATTAAATCCGCCTTTTAGTCCCCACCCTATATTTTTTCTAATATTATGTGCAACACCTAGTATTGCGATTATTACGAAGACGAGAGAATAGTTAATAGATACTTGTATGAAATATGTCTAGCTTTGTTGTTCAAGGTCCCCTTTTTTAAGTTTTCGTTCTGAGTCCCAAAAACTTTCGAGACACTGATGGGTTTTTCACAAAAGGTTTGCTCTCTCGCCTTAATTCTTTAGGTTGTTAATTGTTGGTAACAATCCAAATTATCAATTTCCATAAATTAAAATGTACATTCTTTACATATATATATAAAAAAAATGCAATATCTTTAAACGTACTATAATACCCTCATATCTACTTTTATTCCTCAATCTCTCCTTATTAACAAATGTAACAAAGTACATCCATCAATAAAGTTGACAATGACATATTATAAAAGTATCAAATTTCTAATTTTTTTTTTTAAATTAGGGCGGCTAATGCACGCGATGCGCACACCATATATAGTTAAACGTGTCTATGGAGTTCTTTCACTTTGACTTTATGTTACAACTTTAGTTGTTGGTAGTTTTTACTGAGGGAAAACATGTAAATAAATAATATAAGGGCATAAATGTTTGCACTCTATTATTAAAAATATATATAAAAAAAAGAAGAGGTAATTAACATAGATTAGGGCAAATAAGTAAATGAATATTTTGAAAAGTATAATTGTTCAAACACTTTTCATAAAAGTTATCAAGATAATAATTAATCAAGCTTAAAACATAAAAAATAGAGCAAATACATTTACTTAAGGGTAAATATGTAAATATATATTTTTAGAGGCATAATCGTCTCAACACTATTCATAAAAGTTTAGTTATACTTTTAAAATAAAATAAAAAATTTATAAAGTATAATTGTTCTAATACTTTTCATAAGAGTTATCAAGATAATAATGAATCAAGTTTAAAACATTAAAAAAAAATAGAGCTGATACATTTAATTAAGGGTAAATATGTAAATAAACATTATTAGAAGCATAATTGTCTCAACACTGCTCATAAGAATTTAGTCATACTTTTAAAATACTAGGGTAGCTAATCGCGCGTGCTATAACTTGCCATATTCGGGGAGGTCTTTCGGTTTGACCTTAAATAACAAATTTAGTTGTTGACAATATTAATGGAAGATAATGTGTAAATAAATATTGTTAGGAGTATAAATGTTCGCACACTAGTTTTAAGAGTTCAAAAGAAGTGGCAATTAACATTATTATGGGCAAATAAGTGAATAAACATTTTAAAGGGTATAATTGTTCAAACACTGTTCATAAGAGTTATCTCATACATTTTAAAAGGTAGGGATGATAAAAAATAAAAATAAAAATTAAAAAGTACTATTGTTCAAGCATTTTTCATAAGAGTTATCAATATAATAATTAATCAAGTTTAAAACATAAAAAAATATAGCAAATACATTTAATTAAGGGTAAATAAATATTTGGGCATTATCATCTCAACACTATTCATATGAGTTAGTCATATACTTTTAAATATACTTTTAAAAAGGTAGGGATTAAAGCAAAAAAGTACACCCACACACACATGCACCAATTCTACTTTTTGTATTTCTAATCATTATGAATTCTAGAAACACCCAATTAATTTATTCCGTGAAATTTTAAAAACGGTTACATCAATAAGGGATGAAAAGAGTATATTTTTACTGTATATTTTTTTGCTCCATGAAAACGACTTTCAAATTCTAACCTTTTGAAAACCTAATTGGTTTATTTGGCATCGTTGTAGTTTTCTGTTTTTTGGTTTTTTGTTTTTCAAAATTATATGATATATGTTATATAATAAATCAAAAATTAGTCGAACTTATTAAAATCATGATAATTTTGAAAACTGACAACAAAAAAGTTGAAACACAATTTTTCTTGTTTTTAGTTTTTGGTTATTTGTTTTTACAATAATAGAAAACTAAAAAGAAAAACAATGCCAAACAAGTTCTTTATTTATTTATTTTTCAATTGTTGTCTACTAAATCATTCAATGATATTGCCTTACACATGAATCACACAAGAGGTAGATTTGCAGTTGAGGTATGTATTCATGCTCCAGTTATTGAGACTATTTCAAAAGCAGTATACACCATTTGCCTTATATGGCTCTCTATAACCAACAAATGAATTAGAAATGAAAAAAAAAAATGTTACCCTGTATTACTACCATTAATTTTTTTCCTGATTGATTCACCCCAGAAAAATACACTTGCGTTTGGTCAGTTTCGGTTCAAGCAACCCCATAACTAGACGGTGTACACCGTGTTAATTAACGAAAAGCTAGTTGACCGTATAAGATCAGTTTAAGGACATTCCTGGACGCGCAAAGAGAATGACATCTTACAACAAAAATTGGCATTTTGCACCAGAAAGCAACAATAGAACCTTTTTCCTTCCTCTAGGTGACTTGGAACACCCGAACTGTTTGCATCCAGGAGACAATGCCAGTATAAATGACAAAATTTCCCAAGTTTGGACGTAACGAGGCATTTTTTCCTGAGATATGCAAGTTCTTCGTCGCTGATTAGTGGTTAGCAGTTCAGTTTTCATCTGCGACATGTAGCAGGGAGTTAATTATCAAAGTTTCAAAGGCCAAACATAATATTCCATCATAATAGAAAAGTTCCCAAACAATTGAAAGATCTCTAGTTTACCAACAATACATACAGGAGAAAAAGAAGCATACACCAGTGTGCTTTTGACTACTGCCAATTGTTACATACACATGTTACAGGCTCAATTTACAAAAAATTAGACTATTCAATAAATCAAAGTTTAGCCACTTTCAGAAATAGTTTTTAAAATTTCCATTTGAAATAGTTTAGCCCTTTTACTTTGAACTTTACATATCCCAAGAAGCTTTATATCACAAGGAGAAGCTTTATATCACAAGGGTGGAGACTGTTAAAACTCTTCCTTTAGCTGAGCATCAGCCTATGGACCTTTATTGGAACACTTTCTTTTCTCCCTTACATATCAATATATAATTATATATTTTGACAGGAAACATCATCAATGTAAATGTTCAATACTAAGGCATAAATTACAAGCAATAAAACCCTGTATTATCATAAATGGCATTTGACGATAACAAATATAGTGCAATTATTATGCCCGTACCTTCCTTAACATCATTATGTACAAAAAAGCTGGCCGCAACAATAAGATAGCACAGCACAAGCATCAAGCCTTTAAAATAATTTGAAGTTCCTTCCTGAAACAGTTGACAAAATAGATCAGTATCAATCATCCAGCATTAGATTGTGTGCTCCTTGTCATTGTACTTCAAATTATTTTCTACTGATACACCCACAGCTAGTTAATAGGCCGATTAGTAGAATAACAATCAGGACCATTTTGGTAGATGTTATTTTCTAGCACAAGCTTTGAGTTTTTAACTACCACGACAATTACTGTAGAATGGAATGAAAGATTAGCTTTTTACATTTACATACTACCACAAAGTTCTTATTGTTATTGAAGCTTTTCATCCAAATTTTGTGGTGATAAAACTTGATTAGGAGAATAAATAAATAGATTAAAGCAGATGGCAAACCTGAAGCATAAATGCAACCACTAGAACTGTCACAAAAAGAGTAGCAGTCTCGAAAAGTTGAAAGTTCAGATCCATGGGCTGGCCCATCATCCAACCAACTATCACACAAAAGGGAATCTGCAAAATCAAGGGTACCATCATCGTAAGTAATCCTCCCCAGAGGTCTGTAGTTGAGTAAAGATACTTTCTCACTTTATGAGTCAGTTCTGCGGAGACACGAGCTTTTCCAAAAAAGACCAAATAAAACAAACACATAGCCATCCATTGATGCAGAAACAGATAGGCAACTACTGAAAAACATCAAAGTGAACCCACAAAATCACTGAGTCTTAGACAATCCGAGTAGTGGCTATAACAGGAGACCCTTTGAGGTAGATTATCAATTCTTTTAAGCTTTTATATGGAGCATTATTTGACTAGGTTGAGCAATATCTATGAAATGCTTACTAATATCCAACAGAGAAGTATAATCCAGAATTTAGGAATCTCTTCTTGCAAATGAAATCTCCTCATAGTATACAAGATAAAATCATCTCTATATATGGCATGTGCACACTATCATTAAGTACACCGGAACCTTCAAACCCAATTTTATTTTACAAGCAAAGAAAAATAACTCTCCAAGTTAACATATATAGTGACTTCTATCAATAAACTCAAAAATTGTTTTTCAAGAATAAAAGATCATTAAAACACAAGAAAATGATGTCATAAGAATTTAACAAGATTACAGATACTCACATGTTCGCTAGACTGAAGTGACACGTATACCATAAAACATATAAAATGGTCTGTAACAAACTAATCATATCCAATTAGTAATGTCAACTTACCACAAACATTGATATTTGTGTAGAAGAGCCAATTGCTACTCCAAGACTGATGTCCTACATAATCCATAAAGAAACCTTTTAAATACAATAATAATCAACATGATTCACCCATACAACACAAACAAGCCTTCTATTAAAGAAAAGAAGGCAATATAGAGTATCATCGTGAGTTATTAAAGTCAGTAGACGCACAAGATGGAGCATAGAGTGAGATTCAGAACTTACAAGCTTATCCTTTACAGCAAACATGATTGCACTAGCATGCTCAGCAGCATTCCCCACAATCGGAAGTAGAATCACACTAATAAAAGCAACGGGCATATTCCACGAGTCAGATGCACCCTGAAAAAGGTTCAAGTAAAATAAAAATGTTGTCTGGCTGTATCATTTTCCATCAGTTCAACAATTCCGACATTACACACCAAAGATCACAAATGAATCTCTTAGAAGGATTGTTCTTTATGGCAGAGCTTATATGCATAGAATCAAATCTTCCTACAAGACTATTCAAAACATGAAGACAACTTACAGACTGATGAGACTCACATGTTTGGGCATGATAATAATGAAACCATCACATTCAAATGCAGAGGTTTTAATTACAAAGAACTGCGGCAAGACCAAGAAGAGCTTGATGGAGGATCATCAAACATAGCTTCGTTCAATTATTTTAAAGACATACTCCACTCCCTAGATGGAATTTTGCAGAGCTCATGGATTTTCAAGCAGGGTTTTTCTTGGAGAGTCTATTCCCAAACAGTTGCTTTTCTAGTCAATAGAGCTCTTTTATGTTGCTTTTTTCTTATGATTTCATCTTCTCATGCCTTCCCTTAATCTACAACTTTTCACAACTTATTTAAAATGTTTTCTCTTATCAAGTCTGTAACAGTGTTATCTCAGCAGTAAGGTATTTCATTGCACAATGAGGTCAATGTTGGCCTGGGTGGATGTTATCAAAGCGATGCAAAGACCTATCATCGCTTTTTTAATTTTTTTAACCATAGAAATCCAAAATTGAGTGGCTGCATTAATTTCCCCAGACTGCACTGTCTGCAACCTGGTTTTACGCAGAATCTTTTCTTTTATAAATTCCACCACAATGAGGGGCATGCCTCACGAAGGTGCTATGTTCCTAGGTTCTACACTTCAGTGTGCCTTGAGCGTTCTCAAGGACTGATTATGGCCTCCTCAACCAAGCCTTCAGCACACCTTCACTAGTGTGCAATTGTAGAATGTGCTAAATTGGTAGGAAATGAAATTGTGCAGTAGTGATCCAAAGTGGACATCTAATGAACCTGTTGCTTTAGTCTTAGAGACTCTTGGGTTTTTCCCATTCACAAAGAAGGGTGAAATTCTATGCTGCATTTCATGGGAAGATTGAAGATTGGTACACGGTTGGCTAGCATCACATTTTGGACGCATTTCATGACTATTTTGGGCGTGTGGATCCTAGGCCATTTACTATCTATTATTAACTTATGTGCTAGTTAATGTTGCTGAAATAATGCCAAGAATCTAGCTCTTGGCCGGTTGTAATGGGGGGGTTATCAATAGGCTTTATTATGCTTTCATTACTTAGCTTAAATCAAGGCTTAAATCAAGGAGGAAACCATTGGCTGTTGGCCTTTCATTCTTGGACGGTTTCCTTGGCTTTTGGTGTGCTTTTGCTGCTCCTTTCCTCTATAAAAGGGAGAGCAAAACAGAAATTAAAAGGCAGTTTTGAGATTTGATAAAAACCTTGTGTTTATAGCATTTTAACTTAGAGTTTGTCTCAAGTTCAAGTGTTCCCTTATTGCTTTGAGTGAGTCTTGAGTGATAAGCTTAGGAGAGATTGAGTGAGTCTTATCTCTGGCCTAAAACCCCAAAACTTTGAGTGTGTCCTTGAGTTTTGGCCCTTTTATCTTGTTCCATGATATCTGAGTATTCTAACTATAAGTATTTTTAAATCCATCAACCCATATTCGGGAGGGGGTATTTAGATTTACATCAAGTAGATAGTCCAGATGGAAAACTACAAAAGGCAGAATTCTTTATGCTTACATACCCATTATAGATACAAACACACATTGATTTGGTATAAACCTACCAACTCCCCACGACCCCAGTCATCCCACCCCTGTTTCCCTACTAAAGAACAAGGTTTTGAGCCCCACCTTCCTTCAAAATCAGCAGGCCATATCCATGAAAGCCATGCACCAGTAAAAATAAGAGCTAATATTACTTTCATGAAATATATATAAATAGATGTAAAGAATTACCTGTATAGCATCAACGAGATATCCAGATAATATTGACACCCATAAGGTCAAAATAGCAAGCCAGGAAATTGCTTCCCAGTAAGTTATCTCCGGAGCTTCCTCATCATCAGATTCTTCTACAGTATTGACCACATCCTATATCATTTACAGGAGTTAGAATGTGAAAGGTATCATAATAACCTTAGTATCTTCATGTAAGTAATAAACAGAATAAGTCTTTCAGACAATCATAAATCTAAGGCTGTGCATGCCTAAGCCTTCCAACCCCACCATAGACACAGAAGCCTTGATAAATATGCACGCAAAAACAAATATGAACATAAGATAAAGAAATACTTGGCCAGCTACCCACTAGCATGTAGTATGGACACAGAATATCTCCTCAGTCCTACATCCCATTTATCGGTTTTTTTGCACAGACAAGATTTATCAGATAATGAAATTTCATCATCAACTGCAAAAAAAGGAACATAGATATTGCAAACTTACCCCATCAATTGGATCATAGAGATTGTGTTGACTTCTTAGCTGAAAGTATAGGTAACTTGCATATGCCACCAGCATGATACCACTACTAAATCTTGAGAGGGAAAGCTCTGATTTGCCACGATGCACCTCAGTATGCGTAAAATGGAGCACAGCTGGAAATGTTATACCCATCACAGCCATTAACAACAAGCCAGAGTTCATTACAGCTGCAGACTGCAGCAAAAGTTACACTAGTTATCAATACATTGTCTTGAAAGATACATCTAAGAGATAAACTAATACATCATATTTCAAGTTTATAATCCACTTGTGAAATACCTTGTCAAAACTCTGAATTTTTGGATGATGAACAACCCCACCAGTGAAAAAGGCACATCCAAGAACTAATAGCATATTCGACAAGATGGAGCCCAGTAAAGATTGTTGAACCACTCTGATCATACCAATCTTCAATGCATATATAGAAATAATCATCTCTGTAGCATTGCCAAATGTGGCATTTAACAAACCTCCCACTGCATGCCAATAACTCTAGTTAGCCCACCAAGTCTAATGCAGTATGAATATACAAGACTCATATTGCTCTCCCAACAGTATACTGAAGCCAGTACAGAAGTATGAACCAGAAATGACCAAACACCAAAAGAAAATGACGAATTTAATACTACTTTTATTTCTAAAGGTTCTTAACACTTTACCTTTTTCATGATTGCCAATGTAAAACTTTGATTATAAGATCACTAATTATTAATTTGTAAAATATACAAAGAATTGATATTCTGGGAAAAAAAAAAAAAAAGATTGAGATGAATCTATTAAGACCCCATGTGAATTTTTTTTTTTTTTTTAAATTATTTTTTAATGTATAAATTATATACGATAGTCAAAATGAAGTTTGTGAATAGTGCCAGAAATCGAAGTCTTAAAAGTTTTAGACATGGAGCCATGGAGTAAATATCTTTGAAGGTGGAAATTACAGTTTTTAATTACCTGTAGGGCCTGTATAAAAAGCAAGCTGCCTGCATCATAAATCAAGGAGTAGCATCCATTAATAATCAATTATTTGCAAAATTGAGGAATTAGTGAGCTCAATAAAACAGAACAAGCGTACTCTGTTGCATAACCCAAACGCTCGGCCAAAGGGGTGATGCCTAACAAACTTAAAAAGAAGATCCACCCCTGAAATCCATACAAGTCCCATAAGTAATATCAGTATACATACCATCACTATAACAGAAAATTTGACATGTCAAGTGACAGCAATAATGTCACTTTGGATGTACTCAGGAAAAGCAATTACATAGACAGTAACAGTGGAAGATTGCTTTTCATACAATACCTTCAACTAAAAACAATAGTAGCAAGTCCTACTTTTGAATGTCCAGAAAAAGTTATCAAAAGGAAAGGAGAATGTCTTTGTTGTAAATGAATGACAAAGGGATGTAGTGAAATCATGCTAAATTTTGAATTATAACAATGAGCCATTGGCACAATGTAACAATTTATTTTGGACAAAAGCACGGACTAACATGAAGAAATGTACTGCTTACATGTTTATCAGTCAAATAGTGTAGCAATATTGCCAAAGGGCCAAACGGTAGAAGCACATTTATTTTAGCTTTTATTACAACCGTGTGTATACTTCTAAAAGGGCTGACACGCAGCTTCTTTAATAAATGTGAATTTGGAACTTCTCTTGGAATCGTAGAAGATGTTTCAAATTCTAGAGGGTGCAACCCCTTTTTGCTGGATTTTGAAGAGCTAAGCGGAATATCCTCACCAAACTCAAGGTCTGACTTGCCATCAACTGATTCCATCTGCAAAAAGCAAATTTGACTGATTTAATCCAGGTGGATGATGGGAAGAACGCAACATGTTGCATTACAACAAAGGCAATGCATCCTAAATATCTTAAGACATTGATTGTTCCTAGACCTCAGCGTAATGAGATCGAATCACAGTCATTCCATAATACAAAGCCCATTTTGTAAGGGATTAATAACTTGTACTTCTATTACATACGAACTATATTTTAAAATCAGATAGTGAGTCTGTGACACCTGTTCTAGACTTGTTATTCTATTGTAATTTGGTTTTTTTTACAAGAGAGTATCATTTGATGTAGTAACAAACCAAAGTAAATATTATAGAATGCAAATTAAGATACAAACATTGGCATTAGAACATTAGTTCACCCTTATTAAATAGGTCATGTGTGCAGTATAAAGACTAAGGAAAAAGTATGCACAAAGGAAAGACATACATTGATCAACTAACATTGAACTTAAGGTATCGAATGCAATGAAGTCTAAAGGGCTTCCTCTCACATTACAAAATTATCCTGAAATTGTACTGACAAGCATCGTCTGACTAGATATCATATTAGTACCTCAGTACACAAACATGTTCCTATATAACTGCTATCCAGTAAACAATCAATTAATCAATCAAAGCCTTAATACCATAAGTGGGGTCGGCTACATGAACCAAAAGTGATTAATGGATAAACATCCGTTGACAATCTTATCAATCGGGCAAAAGCATACATCTGACATACACGTACAGTTACATTCCACAGATACAAAGAATACACGAGTTGAGAAACAAACTGATACATCAAACAAGCAATCCAAACGAAAGAGAGATTATCACATTGCATACGACCGCAAAACATTGAAGTCATGGACAAGAATTAGATCGATTGCAACATTTAAAAGCAAATATCTAGCAAAGTCCGTCCAGAAGTTCATTGTTACAGCTTCAGACATACTATTGTACAATAAACTTCAATGTCATACCATTAATGTGATAGCTATAGCCTATAGCAAAGTCAGTTGAGAAGCCCTCAAATTTTTATGAAGTAAATGTACTACACACTTCAGTACTTAACACTGAACCAAGAAAAACCCACAAAAGGAATAAGCAAATTCCATTCTTAGTTATAAAGCTGAGTATAATAAAGTCAATGTTGATCAAATCTAGATACCCTAAATCAAAATCAGATCAACTTGAAACACATAAATACAAAAAACCAAAGTCAAATTTATTATTAATCTGACCAAATCGTGAACTATAATATATATATAAAAATAAAAATAAATAAAAAAAAAAAACAGAAAATAAAATTATAAGAACAACTTCTACTACCTCTTTACCAAATAAAACTTGGTGGGTGCTTCAAAGTTTTGATATTTGACAGCTCTCTTGTTTCTTCAGTAATAAATATTATGCAAACTTCAAACAACAAAAATCCCACAAAAAATGTCAGAAAATTAAAAAGACCCTTAATTTTTTGATGGGTATTTTCTTGTTTAATTGAATCAATGAAGTTGAAAATAATAGTGAAATAAATTCTAAGATTTGAAAGAAATAGAAGTCGTTGGTAATGAAGGAAGAAGAAGATGGGTAGCTCTGTAAATGTGAAGCTTCCACGAAATAACACCCATTGAAATTGAATTGAATTATTAATAATCAAAGTGGGTTTGAAACTAAGTACAGTATTTTAGATTATTTTTAGTAATTAAAAATATTTAATTAAGATTTTTTTTAGTTGTTTAGTCTTTTCTCGTCTAACTTTGACGGTTATTAGAGCAAACTTTAGGACCATATTACTAGACATTTGGGAGGCAATAGGGATCTCATGGATGAGAGCGAAACGGCTATATTTTTTAATTTCAATTTTTTTTTAGTTTTATTTTTTGTCAGAACTTAAAGGTCAATTAATGAAGTCTGAGCTATAATTAATAATGAAATGAAATTTCGTTCTTAGTAAGTAGAATAATTTATTTTATTAATATAATGTGTATGATTTGATAAAAATATCAATAGAGTAATGTAGGTGACGTTATTATTATGGAGCTATGTGGTATAAAACTGTTTGATTAAATATTACTAATATTAGAGATTTTTCTTCAAACTATTAATTCATGAAGCTTCAGGTATAATAAATTTGCAATACATGAAGCTTCAATTCTTAGGAATAATTCGCATGGAACATATCTTCATTAAAAATTAGTAAAAAGATATTCAATGTCTTAGTCATTAAACACCTTGTCTCCCTCATTATTCTTGAGGCTTTTTATTTCGTTTTTAGTTTTCCTTGAGGTAGCACATTTGAACAAGAATGAGAATGATGTTTTCAACAATTCCGCTTCACCATGGTAATATTCTCCAAAATGGATAAACCAGAATATGTCTCTGAATTTTGGCCAGTAAACCTATGCAACACCGCTTACAAGGTTATATTCAACTATTCAAGTGCCTAGTGAAAAGACTCGGATGTATTATCGAGGACCTTATGGAGGATAATCAAAATGCCTTCATTTCAAGTAGTTCCATCACGAATAACTGCTTTATTGGGCATGAGATTTGGGCCGGCAAAAGTTGACTTGGTTGAAAATCTAACCTTAACCTAACCCGAAATAAAGAAATGGATTTTGATTTATATTTTCCACTCGTTTAAGTAATTGGGTCAACATGAACCCGACCTAAAACTAAATAGGTTGGGTTTGGATAAAAAATTTCAACCCGAAAATAACCCACTTAACTCGTGTAATTAATTGAGTCAAGTCTTTGTTGAAGTCAACCTAAACTTAACCCATTTAATTCGCTTAAGTTTATTTTGCTTTTTTGCGCAGCCTTTTGATTTTAGATGTAAGGTCAAACTCAATCAAACAAACCCTTCATTTCTCAATCCATCCAGATATGTAAATTTTCTCTCTCCTCAACCCTTCTTTTCCACAATTCTTCCGCCGCTTCTCTCTCTCTCTCTCTCTCTCCCTCTCTTTCGCATCACTTTATCAACAATAATTTGTCTTCCCCTTATCTTCGTCTTTCATCTAACATCTATCTAAAGCAAAGCAAATTCTATTCAGATTATTCTCCATCTCTATATTATTCTATGTTCTTAATATTTCTTTGTAGCTCTTGTTGTACCTTCTACCCTGTATTTTCCAATTTTATGGTTACATTTTCATATAAAGTATTCATTTTAAGTAGTTAATTGATGAAAAAAAGTTGTACAACGAGTATAATCATAAAATTGTATAGCGATTGACGATGCAATTCTCAAGTATGTAGATATGCCAAACTTTTTTTTTTCTTTTTTTTTTTTTTAATGGGAAGTAGTTCATCATGATTGTAATTTTCCTATTTTGTAATTTGGTAGTTGTAAGGTAGCGCCATTTGATGAGTTTAATTGCTTTATTTTGTTCTTAACATGTTCTTAATGGATAAAAAAATTAAACAAGTTGTAAATCATGTTCGAGTCACCCACATTTTTGAACTAAAAATAAAATTAGAAATAAACAGGTCAGGCAAGTTGGGATCATGTCAACCCGTATAATTAAATAGGTCTGGTTCAAGTTCGAATTATTGCTTGTTTATGTAAACATGTCGAGTTCGGGTTTTGGATGCTAACCATTTATTTAAACAGGTCAACTCAAACTGACATAACATGACCTGGTTGCCACCCCTACACGACGTGCTCCAAAAGATAAAAAAAAAAAAAGAACTCTAAAGAGAGAAATAATTTTGAAAGTATCTTCAAAGCAAATTCAACAAAGCTTATTATGATCAAATCAGTTGGACCTTCCTCTTGAAGAAGTCCTTTTTAGGAAATGAACTTCTCAAGAATCTAGATAGATAACCTATGTTATGATGTGTCTTTATACTAAGGTCTTATACAAAATCCTGATTAATGGAGAACTGTCCCAAAAGATAATCCCAAAAGCAGGGATTAAGCCACGGAGATCGATCCCCCCTATCTCCCTATCTCTTCACTAAATTAAATGAATGGAATTCCTTTTAAAAAAGATGCATTTCCTGCAAAGTATTGGCGAGCTGAAGGGTATCAAGCTTTCATACAAAAACCTGGCAATCAATCTTGTTTCGGGGTTTTCTGTGTCCCTTGGGAGAGTTACAACACCAAGACTGGATTCTGGACGCCTTTACCTGCAAAACAACGGAGACTCCGGTTGGGCGGAGTTCCGCCTCCAACGATCAAGTTAGAACGTGTTCGGATGATGTAAAAAGTGCGTAAAGTTAAGTATCTTCTCGGATTCCGAGAGAATATCTGCAATTAATGATTGCTCTGTTTTTGTGAAAATTTTTGAAGGTGTCCCATGATGGGAACATCTCCCTTTTTATAGGGTCTCGAAATACGTGCTGCCATCCTAGGTTACAAAAACCTAGGAATGGTGGGCTATCTCGGGAATTGGGCCAGGAAGGCCGCCTTTTTCCCAATGATTGGGCGTGCCACGTGTCAAGAGAGGATTGGTTCCTTTGAACCTCTCTTAAGGTGACACGTGTCACCATTTGATTGGTCCACGTGGCCTAGGGTATTTTTACCCAAAACATTTGCCCTTCATGAGTGTGACGTGGCATGCCACATGGCACCTGTGACACCTGTCGGGCGGTCATTTGGAGAACGATTTTTAACCGTTCGTCTTCCAGGGAAATTACGGGGATGCCCCTTGAATTACCCTTCTATAAATAGATTTTTACCCCTCCCTTTTTTGGACATTCCCAAAACTAAGAGAGAGAGACATCCGTTTTTAGAGAGAAAACTCTGACAACCGCCTATATATCTTTCAAGCAATTGCCTTTGTTTCACTACCCACAGCCGGTATACGCCTGAGCATCTTCCAAAACTTCCTCGTATTTCAATCTAGATACAGTCGGATCACCGTCTGGGTAGTTTGTAAACAACTCTTCCTTTTCCAGGGGGTACATCCGGTTTACTGTCTTTGCACCTCAACAAAGACCTTCACCAGAACCGTCTGAGTACCTTTCAAGCGAGCTCACTTGCATTCCAAGTGGGTACAACCATTCACCCGTGATGTACACGTTTTATACATTGATTTATCCCGACTTTACATCATATTCTTGCTCGGTTTTAGGCTCTTTAGAGCCGTTTCTCGCTAACAATCTCTTCTCTAGTGTGTTCGATGTGTTTTTGTAAGTTTTACAGGAATTTGGAGTTTCTTGAATGATTCGGACACGTTTCAATCGTATATGGAGATGTTAATGAAGCAAGGATGGAGAGCCAAGCTAAGAACGAGCTATAAAGCATTTAACCTTGCTGTGCCCGGTTAAGCCATGCTTGCCCGGTTGCATCGGGCATAGAAGGGTTGCTGTGAGCTGCTAATTACGAAGAATTAAAGCAAGCTAAGCCATTTATCCCACGCGCTCGATCGGGTTATGTGTGCCCGGTTGGACCGGGAGCGTGGTGGTTGAAGCAGCTGCGAAGATACGAAGCAGAGCAGGCAGCATTTGAAGAGTGTGCCTCGCGCCCGATCGGGCAGCCATCGCCCGGTTAGATCGGGCGCCGAGGAGAAAGTCACAAAGAAGCAGCGCAATATTGAGGTTCCACCTGCCCGATCGGGTGGTGCTCGCCCGGTCAGACCGGGCAGGGTTATGCGCAAGTCGGTTTTCTTATTTTCGAGATTTTATTTCATTAAGGGTATAAATACCCCTTGCAATCATCATTAGAAAACAATTAGTTAATTCCTTAAGCTTTATTTCTCTCTCTAAAACCCTAGTTACTTTCTTTCAAGCATTTTAATTACTTCATTAGATTTGATTATTGTTCATCAACAATTTGAGTTGTTTCAATTGAAGCATCATTGGTATTCATCTATTTCTCTTCTCTTTCAATTATTATTGTTTTTAATTATGTTTTCTCCATTGATTATTGTTTTAGGGTTTGCTAATATGTGTGAGTAGTTTTTATATTCTAAGATCTAGGGTAGCCCAATTGTGATTGATGCATGAATTAATTCTTTAAATTCTCTAGTGACAATTGCGATTATTTATGCTAATTTGATTGTGATTATGCCAATACTAGATTAGAGATAATTAGTATTGTTATTATTCCATATTTTAATCACAACGAGAGTTGGGTTTTAACTGATTTGAGTAAATCAATTTAGGGTTTGAGATTCATCACGAGAGTAGTTGAATTGATAATTGGGAAGCGAAGTAAAGTGTTTAGTGTCTCTAATTTGCATGATTCCATGAGAATAGGCTTGATTGTAGTTAGAGAAGCCATTGATACTCGAGAGAGGTCCTTGGTATTGATTAGGGTTTGCTTTTCCCCATGTTAATTGGATTTGTATGCTAGGGGTAGATAGATAATTGCATCGATCGTAATTGTGGTGATACTTGATCTTGGATGTTTTAGTTCATTGTTTTATCACATTCTTTAGATTTATTTAGTTCTTTATATATTAGTTTCTAGTACCATTCACCATTGATTTGATACTTGCTTAGTGATTATTTGAGTCTAATTAATTCGATGAACCTTAGTCTCTTGGGATTCGATCCTTACTTTCCCGTCTACATAGTAGTGGTCTCGTTAGGTTTATTTTTGTTAGGTACGCGACACGCCTATCAACCCGTCTGAGCATCTTGCAAGCCATTGTTCAGTTTCCGCCTGCTAGTTCAGTCGGTCAACGCTTGACTAGTTTGCAGCTCATCTTATAGGTACCGTCTCACCTCTTCTCAGCTCTTTCATATATTTTTGTTTGTGTACATATTTCCCAATAAATGGATTCCCCAACAGCACACACAACACACCACAATTTAGAGGGCAGCCGATCCCCTGGTACGGCTGAGTCTAGGACAGGGGGTGCCGCCTCTGGGTACTGGGATCACTCTTGCTCATCTCCCAATCCGACCGTCTCCGTGTTTGTGCTGGACACTATGGCTCGGACAAGATGGACGGTTGTAGATTCGGAGTATAGGGAGGAGAACTCGGAAGAAGTACCGCCTGAGGAGGAACAAATAGAGATGGCAAGGGGATCTCCTAGGGGTACCCCC